CCCCAAAACCCCAAAACCCCAAAACCCCAAAACCCCATATTAATATTTTCAAGTTGAAAATTAATAATATTATAAGTTGATCAAAATTAGAAATTGCCTTGATTTCTTAAAACAATCTCTACAATTTTTGAAAGGTAGAATCTTCTGTCAAATCAATCTTTTCAAAAATGTCAGAAAATTCCTCCATCTTTCGAATCTTTATTCCCCACTAAGAGAAGACAAGACATCGTGGCCATACAAATCCGCATATAATTTGTAAAAATCTCTAGAAAATTCTTTTTCGTTCTGGGACTCTTTATATCCAAAAACATGAATTATCAACTTCCCAAAATTTAACTCTCAAAGAAATTTGGAGATATTTATAATTTTGCAATAAAACGATTTTCAGGATGCCTCTTCCATACGGCAGGGACTACTCTCGAGGAAGCAAGAAATAACCTCGCGAGGGTATACAGCTGAATTTAGCAGCCCTATTAACTCTACGAAAACTTCAGTTATTATAATACCTCCTAATTAACCTCCTTCTTTAGAGACTTGGAGTAATCGCAAAATTTCTATTTTTATCCTCTCTTTCAAAATTTCCAGAATTTTTCCAAAGATGGGCTACATTCTAGGTTTGAAATTTTTGTTGGTGAAGTAGGGAACATTTTTGAGATTTTAAATTAAGAATTTTATTAACTTTAATAATAAATTTACATAAAGATGTCCTTACATAAACATAAGACCATTTCACCGATGTACATCTCAAATCCAGATTTTATCCCTGGCTGAAACTTCAAGTATGGTGGAATATTGATAAGCAGAGGGCTTGTTGGGACAACTTTTGGTTTGAATCCTCTTCCCAGTCGTCAGAGTGCGTTTGTCCCTGTCAAGAAAGCCAAAGTCATAAGCAGTCCCAAATATCAAAGCATTCCTCAAGAAAACTTCCAGAATGAATCAACTTTGAGAACAGAAAATAATTTGAAAGAGGCTACATCTCTTCAGCCGAAATTGCCAGAATTCAGCCTTGACTTAAAGAAAGTAGTTTCGGCGGAAATATCCCCCAAAAGGGCAGTTGAAGACCTTATTGCTCAAAATTCTCAGATACCCCAATCTGAAGAGGTAGTAAAGAATGAAGAAATCACAGAGGTAAGCTCAGTGAGCAAGGAGCCCGCCAAATTTGATAAAGGGATCAGGTTTTCCAAACAGAATGATAAAGGTATGTTATCTTACAGCTTATGTGCAATCAAACAAGAGTTTTCTTTAACTTGAGTTTCTGGATCTCTCATAAACTTGACGTTTTAGTGCTTTATTGCAATTTTAAGGAAAAATTTCAGTATCTAACATTTTAGAACTATTCAAAATTCTTAACAGCCTCTGTAAAGAGCAAGGAATGCCTATCACAAACTTCTGGAGTGATGCTTACCCCCTACCTAAGCCAGAGACAGATATCCTGATTGCTTTAGCCAAGAGAATCTCTTGGAAAAGGAACAGGAAGCTTGATTTACTCAAAAGAATCAGAAGGATTGCTAATAGAAAAACCTTCTCTGTCAGGGAGAAAAAGCTCCTCAAGAGGATCATCAACAAGCAGAAGGTTAATGGTATTGAAGATATCAACGAAATCATTGAGAATTTCCCTGGGAAATCGATCGAGAGGTGCTACGAGGAGTATGACAAGTTGCTTTAATCCAAACATTTTATTCGTCCATATTATCCTCAAATTTCTATAGATTGGTAGTAAAGTGGGGTTTTGGGGTTTTGGGGTTTTGGGGTTTTGGGGTTTT